TATATTTCCCTCTCATTGGGACTTATTTTTCTGACGAGTAAAACTAAACGAGAAGAGATACTTATTAAAGGGGCATTCCGTTTTTTGTAAACCATTTTCATTTCAAACACGTTGTAAATTATACCTGAAAATATTTCTAAAGTATATTATTTTTGTCTTGATCTTAATAAAACTGAATTTGTTTTAAATGGGTTAATGAGAAACCGAGTACTAATTATTTATTAAGCAGTTTGACCTAGTTTCGGTGATTGGCTTTACAATGGCTCATTATATTTAGTTAAAATCTTTGGACAACGTAGGAGACATATTTCTATACATATTTACTCAAATACGTACAGTTATAGTTTCTAACAATAGTTTCAATAAAGCGGAATGGCATAGGCCACTAAATATTAGTAGTGAGAGTTTAAATTAAGATAGCAGAAAATAAAATTATCAAATGATTTAATAACTTGTGAATGCATATGTTTAAATAGAGATTTATTTCAAATATGTGTGTCAAAATTGAAAAAAAAAAGATAATTTTAGGTAATTAAATTACGTAATCACATTAATTTGTTTTCTGGCTCATTTTGTGAAATGATCAAATACAAATGTCATGAAAGTGAAAAATTCCTTTTATGCTGAAGGTGCTGACACTTTTACAAATATTAAGACAGAAGACAATACAGTTTTTAAATGTAGTTTAATGCCAATTCTAACTAATAAAAAAAAGAAAAATACTAATGAGAAAATCAAAAAGGCTGTGATGGAACCCCTTATACATTTTGAAAAAGACGAAAGAAATTATGACAAAAAACGTCTTCTGTTTCATCACATTTAATAATTTGATTTCACTTTTGTTGTATCGTTTTTACGACCAACATGCCAGTCACGTAGATAATGTAGCAGGTAACTCCCAAAGTTGTTTCTATATGTTTCACATATAACAAAATGGAACAAACTAAAACAGAAAAATTCGTCCTCGATGATGGATCCTTGCTGAGAAAAATTCCATGGCAACCAGGCGCTACCTACAAGGATATAGTCGTACGCTTACTTAACGTTGTGCAAATATAATAGCAAAGCCGCCGTGGTATTCGATAAATACAGTGATTCACAGATTATCACTCACCAATGGAGGCAGCGCGGACATACAGTTGTTTAAGTTAATCCAACACGAATATTCGACTGCGAAAGGGACCATTAACTGGCCAATGGGTGCACAGAAACAACCCTTAATCATAAAATAACGAATACAATGATGTTAAACATGTTGCTACTCATTGTTTCACGCTATGTGATCTTCAGACAACTGACTTATTTCAATCTTCGTCCCTTTTGGTCTCTGTATTAATTATTATTAATATTTTACGAAAGAATCAATGACTATTGTTTTTTATTTACTACCATGGTTTCTGACAAACACCACAAGAATTGCTTACTCGCTCTAGTCGTTTGACGAATTTTCATCTCGTTATGGTATTTTAGCCGCCATTTTGCAATATAGGTACTGTTCAGCGTTCCAATTTTGAGTAGGCTTCTTGTAATGTTACCAATTTATTATATTATACATGCTTGGTATTTGCACTCAATGTTAGGTTCAACCACGTGGGAAAGGCTTGACAAATTTTGTTACCAGTGTATACATGAAACCTAGTCTCAAAATACAATAAAAGCTTTTGTTGCATTTTTAAGTTTACGTATACTATTAACTTTCATTATGCTTTTTTCATCCTGTTAGAAAACTACTGTATGGATTTAGGAAAATAAACACCAAATTGTTGAGAAATATGTCTCCTACGTATTTTAAAGGTTTCGACTTTCAATAATATCAAGCGTTTCAAACACAAATACAAAAAACTAGGCCAAAGTCTGTCGCTAATTCTATCGACTCCCTCAAATAAATCTTTTATTTCAAACTTTTAATCTTGTGCGATCAATCTACATAACCACCGAAATGAGCTCAATCGGATTTAAAATACAGATGTGACGTGGGCCTTTGTGACGTACCATTTAAAAAATATCAGGCCTCTCGTAAACTGCTATGTATCTCTTATTACGACTCACATATTAAACTATTGTATTATACAGTATTCACATACTTTGTATCACCAGGAATCATAATACAATTTTTTACCGGTGGGTTCGTTTTGCCGCATTGCCCAACTTGCCGCATCGTGCCCAACTGCACAAAAACGACATGTAAAACGAAACTAAAGGTTTCTGATAAAATCCGGAATGGCCATTTTTTACATGAAACGAAATATTTTAATCTGTTGTCCCGCATCTTTTTTTTTATTATGTATAATTTGGACCTGTTAGGGAACTCGAAACTATAGTTTTATGGTAAAATCTGGAATAAAATAAATACCAAGTACAAACGATCAGAACCGTAATACAA